CACAAACACATAACCGGTCAAAAGTTTTTTTTTAATGTTTTTGAAAGAAGTCTCTTCTGCTCACAAAGGCTGCATTTATTTGATCAAAAATACTGTAAAAATTGTGAAATATTATTAGAATTTAAAGTAAGTATTTTCTATGTGAATATGATGTAAACCAATTTATTTCTGTGATCAAAGCTGTATTTTCAGCATCTTTATTGCAGTCTTCAGTGTCACATGATCTCCAGAAATCATTCTAATATGCTGATTTGCTGCTCAAGAAACATTTCTGATTATTATCCATGTTGAAAACAGTTGTGCTGCACAATATTTTTGTGGAAAAACTTATTTTCCAGGATTCACAGATGAACATAAAGTTCAAATTATTTGATATAGAAATCTTTTGTAACATTATAAATGTCTCTACTTTCACTTTTGATCAATTTAATGCATCCGTGATGGATAAAAATATTAATTTCTTATTTTTAAATCTTAATTTTTAATGGTAGTGTATTATGGTTTCCACAAAAATATTGTGCAGCACAACTGTTTTCAACATGGATAATAATCAGAAATGTTTCTTGAGCAGCAAATCAGCATATTAGAATGATTTCTGGAGATCATGTGACACTGAAGACTGGAGTAATTACATATTGAAATGTTTTTCTTGTGAAAATAATTTTCTCATTCCTTAAAATAGCTTGAATGCAACTCTACACCCTTGCCTCATTTACTATACACGGATCTATGAATATGCAAATTAGTCCCGCCTCCACTCAGTCACACAGCCAGCGCCTCCTGATCCACTGAACTGTAGTAACAGCAAAACAGTGGCATACACGGATAATGACTGATAAAACTATCTTTTTACTAGCGGACAACTACAGTGAATACTGTAACATTCGTTAAAGTTACTTACTTGACGATGTTGTGTCCTAAAATGCCTTGAAGACTCGAATGCAGCCGTTTGTGATTCTTAATTTGCACCCGTGAGCAATGCGTGTGAAGTGCAGATGCCGATGCCGATGCGGGAGAGGTGCGTCTGACTTCGGGCTACTTTTACACTGTTGCCACGGGTTATAATGCAAGTTAGCGGTTCTAAATACACATTAAACCACAGCTTCATGGGTTTTTTGCTTTAATTTAGTTTTGGTTTTGTGCTGGTATTGGTATAGTTTGCATGCTAGTGATAGGAATCTATCCCTTGACGTGATTGGTTATTGGTTTGTGACGTAGCAAACCAAGGACTGTTTCAAACCGCATTTCTGGGACTGCCATTGGGAAACTATGTTGTCTAAAGGCATATTAAAAACACCATATAGACAAATAAACAACATAAAAAACTTGATTTTCACTACAGGGGGACTTTAATAAATGAACACGTGTTGAGCTTTGTGAACGGTGGGTGTTTAAATTCTTCAGAATCTGTGGATCATCCTGTGGAGCTCTTCATGGAGTCTGGATATAAGCAAAGGCTTACCGAGTGATTCTCTATGCGCTGATATGGAGGTGGATTGGGTGGAAGCATCGCAGCAGTCTCTGTAAACGTGATGTTCAGTGAGCTCTGTGAAGAGACTCATCAGGAAACCTGCAGGGATAAAACAACAGTAACAGAAAAATCTCATCACAGAGAGCAACAGTGTCAGTATCTTACGGTGTACTGAGCCAGGCAAATAGCATCAATGTATTTCATGCCAACTTTAAATATCTACCATCTGCACAGGGATTTATTAACACAAATCTGAAAAAGAAAACATTTAATTTGTAATTTATTTATGTATGTATGCATGTATAATTTAACGCCATATAAGCAGCAATGGCTATACTCAGGGCAAAATCAACAGTATTATGATTACAATATCAATGGATTGTTTACAATAATTTAACCATTTTATCTAAAAAAACAATCAACATGGAAAAAACGATTTATATAGAATTTTTAAATTTAATGTATAATTTAATTATTCTTTTTTTAAAAATAAAATATATAAAATAAAATATCATTTAATAATATAATTTAAAAGTGCTTTAATTTGTTATAAAACCAATCTTCTTCATAAATATTTCTGGAATTTACTAACAATTAAACAAAATAAAAAAAATGTTTCAATGTAAATCCTACAACAATTTTTTTCACTGTAGCTGCATAATCGTACCGTACCTGTCTGTCCCTTCTGAATATTCGATACCTGCCCGAATGTGAAAGAACGAGAAATAGGGAAATATATTAAGGTAAAACAACAACTACTTCAATGGCATTTATACAAACAGAAGCATGTCCTCTCACTGAAGAAATGTAAGTTTTATTACCAGAGATTTGTATAACGGCGTGTGAGGGCTGATCTTCGTGAGCTGCAGAAGCTCTCTGGCTGATAAAACCTAGACATGTCCAACAAAAACAAGATCTGGTCTTGGTTTAAATGGATCAAATCATGCTTTTTATTGTGGTTTTCCATGAGGTTCATTCATAATGTTCATTTAAAAAAATGGTTCCAAAAATAGTTCTTCATGAGCATTTTCCTAACAGCCTCGTGACAAAATCATAAATCAGAATTGCAAAACAATGCTGATCTTTACAATAGTAAGTATGAAGTCATGTGGAGTCACCTGGTCTTTGCTCATTCCGCATTCGGGGAGGAAGACAGACAGCGTGTAGTCGCAGCCGACGCTTCGCAGGTGATGGACGACGACGCTGTTGCATGCGGTGACTAACACAGAGTGAGCGTCTCCTCTCCGCACCGCCGCCGGATGCAGCTCCTGGATCAGCTGATTCCTCAGCTGCGTCTGCAGAACACACCAGAAAACACTACTAGAGAACCAAAGTCTTGACTGAAAGTTTACTGCGGGAGGTTAGTTTGAATCTGGAAGGTTATGTAGACTTGTGTAGTTTGAATATATAAGGTTTTCAGTGTTTTCCAATCCTGTTCCAGGAGAATCCCAACAGTCTCACAGATCTGACACACTCAGCGAGCTGATGGCTTGATTAAGACTGGATTAAAGCTGAAGCTGAAGCAGGCAGTTACTAGGATGTTGCTAGGCAGAACAACAGACTGACAGACAGGCAAACAGAGAGACAGAACAAGAGAATGAACGATAGAACAATAAACAGACAGATAGATTTATAGACAAACAAACAGAAAACATGATATAGATAAACACACAGAGAGAAAGAACAACTAAATTATATAGAACAAAAGAATGATAAATAGACAGAAAGACTGACAGATAGATAAATAGATAGATAGATAGATAGATAGAACATGAGATAGATAGATAGATAGATAGATAGATAGAACATGAGATAGATAGATAGATAGATAGATAGATAGAACATGAGATAGATAGATAGATAGATAGATAGATAGAACATGAGATAGATAGATAGATAGATAGATAGA